TTGAATTTGTTAGAGTTTCTCTTCAGTGACAACATCCAAAGCCTGGCAAAACGTTTGCCCTCCTTAAAACCTTCTATCCCATATTCTTCTGAATCACTTGCAAATTGCTGGATATATGAAATATCTAGGGTTGGTGGACAAAGCGTAAGGTCACCGAACTCATCAAAATGATAGTCTAGATCTGTCAAGCCACATTGCATTAAAGAAACAATTACATTGGTTTTATAAACTCAGCTAGCCCATCTAAACCAGTCTATGTCAGCAAATTTATTTCCATTTTTTCCGTCTAATTTCTGGTTCTTAGCCTATATTTGCTTCTAATAGATATGTTGTGTTGGAATAGAAAGATTAACAAATATTATTCAGAAAAAAATTGATTTGTTCTCTGTTGGGAAGTGTATATTAAATGTAATTAGGGTAAATGGTATATTAGAAATATACCCTCCTATGTAATTAATTGTGTTTTATTTTCTTATTCATATGAAATTTAATATATAGAGCTCTAATATTTAACTAAATACACATCATGCTGTTCTTCTATATGGTATCAGAGTGTAGGAAAAAAACTTTAACTCTCTTTTACAAATCTTAATCAGTTTTTATTGCTGAAATAAGAAAAAAGGCCCCTAAGAAGGCCAACTTTTGTAGCTGGCCACCACCACCATAGAAGCCAGCCACCACAGACCAGCCTCAACCCACCAAGATCAGCCTTCGTTGCTGGGAACTGTTCCCTAGCTGCACCTCTAGCTATGCGACCAGATCCAACAGCCACGTTACCTCCTGTTTAGCCACGCAACAGCTGCGTCACCTTCTGCTCAACCACATGCAGTCCTTTTTGGTCAGGTATTCCAGATGCAGCTCTCTGCCCAACCGCACACAAGCAGCATGCAGCCTCCCCTTCTCAGATGCTCCTAACACGGCTGCTCTATTCAGGCACCAACAACCGCACACCTGCCCTATCCTAGCTGCGCAGCTGCCCTACTTGCATCTGTCCAGCCCAGTGAATTTTGTTTTCTCTTAATCGAATCAGCCTTTGTTATCTGGAAAGCTTTAAATCATATTAGAGGTTACGTCTCAAGTTACGAGAGTGAACCCCCACATGGTAAATTCATAACAACCCAACTGAGAATTTCAACCAATTCAGATGGCCTATCCCTTGAATGAGAAGAATTATTTGAATTGGTTACAATTGATTTTATGGCAGTAGATTTCATACAATTAGTCAACAGATTTCAGATAATTATGCCAGCAAATTATACAAATAATTAACTAGCAGATTTTATGTCTAATTTTATGATTTGTACAACTTTAATACCTTTAATTAGGACAGATTTGTTCAGCTAATTTAGGAACTGAAAATTAGTTTATATATTTGTATATATAATGAGGATTCTCCTCCATGAAAAACACAAGAAATTTTTCTACTCAAGATCTCTTAAATTATCAAGGAAGAGTATTGGAAAGTATATATTAAATTTAATTAGAGTAAATGGTATATTAGTAATATGCCATCCCATGTAATTGATTGTGTTTCCTTTTCCTATTCATATGAAACTATATATATAGAGTAATATTCAATGAAATACATAACATTTTATTTTTTCGCACTCTCTAAACTGAAGAGTCCTTTGGATTCTCTCAAAGGAGCCCATTCTACATTCAGTGGTAAGGGAAGAAAAATCTCCGAACACTTCAGTCCCCAATGTGATTTTGGTCTTCCCAAGCCCATAACTAGATCCAAACTAGGGAGCATAACAAATGGCTTAGGGTATTGCAATGTGTATTTACTGGATTTCATGCAACACTGAAAATAAAAATTGCAGGGACTGTAATATTGACTAGCCTGATTGCTTTGTCAGTACATGAATTATTTATATGTTCCATTTGAATTGAATCTTACATTGGTATTGAACTTTTTGTAAGACCACCTAACTGGTCAAAAGGCACTACTTTTGTTAAATTAAATAATCTGTTTTGGCAATTGTTGAGCTTGTTTGTACTCGTATCTTTTTTAAACTGTATTTGGGGCTTTTGTTGAGTCAGCTTTGGTGATATCAGGTAGCCCGTTCAAGTTCTATACCTCTAAATACAAGGGATGCATTATATCAGGGTTTGCCACCGAATACTAAATTGGCTCTACGCTCAAAAATACAATCTTTTCGTGTAAAAGAGAATGTATTTTCATGATCTCCTTTAATGCCTTTCTTCTTCCTTCCCCTGTGTTC